CCCTATAAAAAGGCAGCTTTATAAGATACTGTAGAACTTTCCTCACATCCTACAGATTACTCAAGCAGTCAGCGTGGAGGAAGGTGGGCAACAGAGAAATCTCTTTGGATTTCTCCAACATTGGATGATGTGTAGACAGAAGCCTAGCTACAAAAACACTTGTTTAATCAAACAGAGGAGGATTTATAACTTCTGTTTAAAAACAGGTTTTTATTCTTAATGCTGCAGGGTTAAAAGAGCTAGAGCTAAAATACTGAGTTGACTCATTAACAAAGCTGTTAACTGACTTGTGTAGTTAATGGTGATGATACATGAGGCAAGAGGAACCCAGTTTGCCTATGGTCCCATGCTAGGTTTGCAGAGCGGCCAATAAAAAAAAATAATTAACTGTACAGAGAACAACTTTCTACCTCTGAGATGACAAGTCACTCTGTAATGACATTTTACAAGATCAGCTTTTGTACTGGGGTTTACTATTTTAAACTAAATGTAAAATGAATTGGGCATGACCAGAACAGCTATCCTGCCAGCTACCAGCCAGAATTACAGATTCTGAATGTTGACATTTGAAGGGCCTATGAAAATTGCTTGTGAAGCCCTTAATAGACATGGAGATTTAGCTAGATAGATTCCCAGACAGGAACTGGGAATCAAGCATTTAAATGCTCTTATTCTTACTTAAAATTGGGATGGCTGCCATGGTTCCTGCTCCCCAGCTGTCTTCTGCTGCAAGAACAGCTCAGCTGCTCATGCAGCAGCTGCTAAACTGCTGCAAATTACTGCTTTATTAAGATGCTTTATTAAGGCAAGCAAAACGAGAGCTGGTTTACCTTATACTGGGCTACAGAGGTCCAGCACCTGCTGCATCAGCAGCTGAGCCTTTCCTGGGCAGAGAGAGGCAGAGCGGGCAACTAGTGGTAGGAACCAGCCCCAGCTATTTAAAGCTAAACTATCCTTTCTTGTAAACAAAAAGCCAGAAAATGTTGCATATAGGATGCACGCGACTACTACTGCATCTAATGAATAACAGCTACTGCCTCTCCTAGGAGATTCTGCATTTTGGATCAGCAGTCCTGGCCTTTATTACCTCTCTACGTGGATGTCATACAGATACCTGAGGCCTCTCCTCACAAGTCAATTCAGTATCACAGTTTCCTTCTAACGAAATGCCATACCAAGATGGAAATCTTGCAGTATCTTACACAACACAACAGCAGCCACGCACACAAGCAATCCTCCTGCTTCCTTCCCTAAAACTCCTGCAGAGACAAAGCCAAAGCTGCGACCGCGTTCACAGCTTTTGCATAGCAAAAGTGACGACCACTTTTGGCAGCTATTTTCATGCTGAAGGCTGCTTCTTAATCATTCTCATTTGAAAGTGTGCCGATTGCATTCAGCAAGCCAAACTAGAAATATTCAAAAAAAAGCCAGCCTGCCATAGAGAAATGTCACCTTTCAGAGGTGCAGCTCTTCAATCACATTAATGCAAAACAACTAGATAGATTCACTTAAACTGTCTACAGATGATGTATTTAATGAAGGAAGGAATTTCAACAAAGCAGTGCTTTGCTGAAAATGTAACAGTATTGTGCACATTCCTCATTTATTATTGGATTTCACGATACGAAAGGAAATATGGTAGTAAGACAACAAAGGAAGAAAGACAACTTCCTTAACAATCCTTTCAACTTTGTTTTCCTCAAATTATAATTAGTTTGCCTGAGCAAAAGCAGCTTCCTGAGAAGTGCTTCACAAGTCATCAAAACTAGACTCTACACAGCAATCTGTGAGCAAACATGCAAAACCAAGTTTCACTGAGAATCCACCTCGAACAAGTTCTACCCAAAACCCAACAATTTTCTCAGAAAAACCCTTAACGGCATCTTTTGCGGGGAAGGAGAATTAATAAAACACAGACCTGCTCCTTCATGAACACGTGTGTCTCCCATGGACTGCCCTCCTCGGGCTTCCACACAATAGCAGAAAAAAATGGCCTTAAGCACCCCAGAGACCAGGAAAACACAGATTTACCCCTTTGCAAGGCGAAACAGCCACGTGGACGCAGGCAGCACCAGGGGCTCCTTCCCTTGGGGTCAGAACCTGCTCCTCTGTGTTACTCATTTGTTCAGATACAGGCACTTGGCTACGCTTAACTTTCCAGCTTATTTAACTTTCACAGGGAATAAGGTAAAAGCACAGAGCACCACCCAGAACTGCCAAGGAAATAACGCTACTGCTGGAATCCCACCCTTGAAGTTAACTTCCCCTTGAATGCTTTGTCTTGGATAGATATGCTCATACATGAAAACTAAAGAGACAACTGGGAAATAGTAAACTCTCAGGCTTACAAAAATCCGCTCCGAAATATCTGAACAGTGACAAAATAGTGACAAAAATCCTTAAAAATACCTATAAAAACAAACAAACATTTTTTCCTGTCAATTAGATCTCAGCTATCATACAAGTCTCCTAAAGTTGTAAGTTCTTTTCACATAAACCACAGTCAGCAACTTTAATTTAAGAGCATGCTTTTGCTTTTAGCCACCAAATTAGCTTAATTGCTATTAAAAAATCATGAAATTTTCATTCTAGAGAAGAGGCAGACAAAATGTGACCAGCAATTAAGTTTATCAAACTTCTGATTGCACAGCTTAATTGTGATATCCTGACAGAAGTTCATCCAGGTCATAAAAGTGATTCTCCCTGAAAATGGGGAAAACCCTACAAACGCAAATAAGGAACTTTTCTGAAAGAGCTTTAAACGCAAAAAAAAAAAAAAGACTCATTTTCCTGAACCACTTTGTTGGACCACAGCATGACTAAGTACCTCAAGGAGGAACAACTACCACTTTGGCAGGAGCGCTATTAGCTGCCCCTCATGCACAGACAACCTGAAGATATTTAGTTCCTCCAGCAGTGAGCTAAATACATGCTAAATATAGCCCTGGCCTTTTCTTCTGACATTAAGATGAAATTTGTGACAGAGCTCTGTCTCAATGGCTTTTAAACTCTAGCTCCAAAGGGTCAGAAATGCATTTTTCAAGATTTCTTAGAAACATCCCAGGCACAACATTCTCTCCAAAAATTCTTTACTTGTGCTGACCACTCTGAAATTTACGTGGCTGCCACAGCACAAGTTTACACAGCGCTTGAAGCGCTGGGAAGGCTGTAGAGTTTGCAAACATCACACCAGAACTGTCCCTTGCGTGGAATAACCGCTGACTTTCAAAGTCACTATGGACTGGTCTGGTGCACATCAACAGGGCTGTGTGAGCACAGGGCTGTATGGGACACTGAAAAATACACCACATTTGGATGGGCAGGTGGCAACTTTATCACTGCAAAGGTGAGTTCTAAAAGCTACAAACCCCCCAAATTAGTGATTTTATCCAACGGATAATGAATCCCCCCGAAGTTTGTCATGACTTGTAAAATGAAGGTACCAAACAACAGTCTCCTGGCACTGTAAAAACACTGTCTAAACAAACGGGCAGATTTTTTTTCTGAAAAAGGTAATATGCTATCAGATATGAAAAGTGATACCAATGGCTTGAGTATAAAATTATTTGTATCGTACTTAGGAAAAGCGTCTCACACTTGAGCTATCCATATTTCTAAAATCTGGCCAAACTAAGAAGATAACCATGACAAAAGAATAGGCATCGCTGAAAAATCATTTGAGAAATCTTCCAACCTTTTGGTTGTAAAAGTTATACACTTTCTTAAAAGAAAAAAAAAATCAAACTAAAACATGCAACATCCCTCCACCAGAAGCAATTCCTAAAGACCATATGTGGCCTTGAGGCTACTGTAATCTCACTAATGTAAAAAGCATTAGGACTTCCACAACTTAAATCCCGTTCCTATAATATTACAAGTTTGTCTCGACTTAAAAATCGCCAGTAGGTAATAATTTAGTAAGCAGCATTGCAGTGGGCTATTATCACAGTGGAAAGTTATTCTTATTACAAAAATGCGTGTTATTCGTAGCCTAGATTTGTCTAGTCTCATTTTCTAGTATCTTGGTTTATGTTTGTGTTAGACTTCTATTATTAAAATATTCTTCCCTACAGTTATAGACTCAAGCTTTAAAAACACTGCAATGCTCTCCAAGAGTTCAGCAAAGCCTCTTTGCCAGCCCTTCAGTCATTCTTGCCTGGATTCTGGATTCTTTTCAATATTTCAACATTGTTTTTTGAACTACACTGGGGAAAAAAGAGTAGAGCTAGCTGCAAAACTAATCTTCAAAATAAAGAAGAAAGGAGTAATGGGAAAAGGTAAGAAAAAAAAATAGTGGGCAATGAGAAAAAATACATAAGAAAAAGGCATGGGTGAATGAAGGCAGGACACCAGAATAGAAGCAAAATTCTGTGATAAAAATAGCAAGTAGAAAATCCCCAGACTGGAGTGCTAAAGCTGTGGGCACTTCCTCTGCAGCTGAGGCAATCCCATGGGAGAGGCCTCCAAAAGGTTCCCAGGCCCCTTCTCATCTTTCAGGCTACAAAGCCGAAAAACTCAAGAGAACAGAAATCACGGGACCATCTGCTTTCCAAAGCTACTCTTTGCTTACTTTAAATTAATAAGTTGTACCACCACAACCTTTACATATTCTCGTGGAGTCGATAGCAGAGACAAAGAACCCCAAAGACCTGGAGTTAGGGTTCTTAAGTGGCCAAGATATTGAAAACACAACCTATAAATGCTGCAATAACCATTCAAATGATTCTATAAAGCACATGAACTTTAACACGCATGCAGATTATTTGTTGTCCGACTACAAAGTTTTATTTTCAGCCACACATAATGTAGCTCCCAACTCTGAACAGTAAATGGTGATCTGTGAAGGATCAATTTTTAGGAGATGCAAATCCAAGTAGAGAGTTTCAAACAGAAATGAAATAAAACTTACTGTAATTGGCACATCTTTTGTTCCTGAATTTAGTAAATGCAGGTTTAAAATTTTTGGCAGATCTGTTAAAAAAAGCACACACACTGGGCTATTAGGCTATATTAACATATAATATTATACAATCTGCACTAGCTCCCCCCCCCATATTAAATCAACTGTTGCTCAGTGTTAAAAGTACGGACAGTCAAAACCAGCATTCAGTAGAAATTATGCCTTAAAAAAAAATCTTTAAATGAGTAAGCTGCATGGAAGCATACTTTTGAAGCTGCATCACTTATTTGCAAGAAGATACTGTTTTTTAGAACAATGTGCCCGTTTGCAGTTTTGAAAAGTATTTTCAGCTGTGTTTTCTGCCAGGTAGAGATTGCAATTTTTTTGATTTCACTAAACAGTTTCACTAAAAGTACAAAACGTTTAGAAATATTACATAGAATCCCAGAATGGTTGAGGTTGGAAGGGACCTATAGGGATCATCTAGTCCAACCCCCCTGCTTGAGCAGGGACACCTGGAGCATTAAAGTGGCAATTAAAAAATAAATAAATAAATAAATAAAGGATAAGTTATCACATCCAAAATTTGATTCAGAAGGTTTGGGTGGGTAGAGGGAGGGAGATCAATACAGCAAATGCAGGCAGAAGGACACTACTACTGATTTTTGGAAAACATCACGTGCAACTGGGTAAGATCAACACTACCAGCCTTAAAACCTGATGTGCCAACTACTGTTTCCTTGCGCATATCCCAAATATACTCACAAGTGGATATGTGTGTGGAGAGTTTCAACACAGTTTTGCCCTATTTTTAAAAATCAGTCCCTTAAAGAATCACCATCCCACAAGCAACCCCCAAACGGTACAAAGGTAAGTGTGCTCCCCTGCTTCGAAAATGCTTTGAAGTCTGAAGTATAATTTACCTTGTGTTCGTAGTGTACCAAAATCTAGCATTTCTGTGGATGAATAGATTCCTGGAGCTTAAAAATAAAGAAATAAAGTCACCAATTTTTATTCTGTTAAAAATAAAGCTGAACAACTTTAATAAACAGTTTTCTACAAACCTGTTGTAACTTCTACCTCAACAGGGAGAATGATAAATTCTGTGTTGTCTGAGGCATTTGTTTTTATTCTAATGAAAGCTGTATGATTATCTGCTTCTCTTGAAGAAAAGCTGGCTCTCATCACTCCTTTTGTTTCATAGGGAGGAATTTCCTAATAAAAAAAGAGTGCAGTAATTACAAAAAGAGCCACCACACCAAAAAACTACAATAAGAGCATCGAATATAATTGCATTAAGAGAAAAAAAAATAAAAAGGCTAAAATATAGACTGCATGTTTTTTAAAGTTACCATTATATACAGCAAGGATTTTTTTAATTGGGTAATATAATGATCAGAAAAAAAATCCTCACATTAATGAGTGATTAAAAATAGGTGAATAACAGGTACCGCATGTCTCATTGAATAAAGTTTTATTTATCAAAACTGTGATAGAAAGTAGTGGACTGACAGAATCAAAGCACAAAATCTAGTGATAAAGAGTATAGTAACATCAAGCATTGGTTTTACACATACCAATTGCTTCCCCCCCACAAAACACATGAAGAATATACAATTGCAATGATATAGAAGCACACGTTGAAATCACTTCATAAAACGGAAATCAAAATAAATGCAGAATTGCAAGTAGGCGGAAGTCCGACAAGTTTCAAGTTCATTGACCATCAAGCAGTTTACAGCAAGAAGTCAGAATGTGCTGCTGTTTCTATGCCAGGCCTATACGTCAGTCCCAAACTGCTCTCGGAGCTTTGGGGACCAATCTTGCTGCATTTGCTGGACACGGCTGCAACACAACGCCAGCTTCAGGCTGATGGTTCAAACACTAACACTGCACGTGATCCCCATCGCCTTATGGGCTGCTGACTTGGATTGTCTCTCTTAATAGAAGATGAAAATCTTCATTTCAAATTTGAAGATTCCTGTACTTGAATTGCAAATAAAGTAGGCAGAAAGTAGGCATTTCTGATGGGTAACCCTTGCCTTGCATGGATATTTTTCAGCTGGCAGCTTCTTTTATATTTTTGATGGTGAAGACTGGTCAAGACATAATCCAGAGAGGTGCACGGTGCCTCATAGATCTCTTCTGCACCTTCTGCAGTATAAAACTCACTGATGCATTGTGGATGTCCAGCAATATTTTGCATGGACCAGAGATTTTAAGAGTTTGCTTTGAAAACTGTCACCTATCAAAGAACAAGTTACAACTGCTACTACCCAACAAGTTCCTAGATTAAAACTGGCTACTTAACTTTCACAATTACCTCCATACGAGATCTAACGTAACGCAGGCGTTCATCGACATTTCCAAGGATGTCATTTGACTCTTCTGTAAAAGTGATCTAAGATTTGTCAGATCCCTGAAGTACCTTTAAACAGCTATTACAAAAATAGCCCTGCAAATCTGGACCGTTTCACCCAAACACCCGGCATCGAGGCCGTTTTAGACAGCGTCATTATCATCCTTCAAGCCACTATATCAAAGACTGTTAGGAGAAGCAAGGGGGTTAACACTGATCTGTATTAACCTAACCACTTTTCCACAAAACAAAGGGGTAAATACCTACTAGAACTTAGCTACCTGCTTTTCCTATGCAGGATACTGAATGCTTCACACTTGCGTCATGAAGAACTGCCTCTACATCCTTTGCAATCTGCTTTTAATTACCAATCTGGCCTAGGGAAGCTGCATAGTTACATGCTCAAGAAACAGAACTAGAAATAAAGCAGAGTTAAAAAAGAAAAACAAACAAAAAAACCAAATCACCCACCCCTATTCTTTTCTTTATAGCTCTGGGACTTTTGTCGCACGCTTACCTACAGGTAGAGAATTCAGTAGTCCCCTGAAGCTCTGTTGTATTAACGAGGGGTTTTCTTTAGAAGCACAGTCATTTGACAAAAATAGCATCAAAATATTTCTTTTGGAATCCAGTTCTAATGCTTGCGTATATATAACTCAGCATCTGTTTGTTTTTTCCACCATATTTTATGAAACGCTCACAATCTATATTCGTATTCACTTTTTTTTTTTTTTTTTTTTTTTTTTTTTTAATTTTCCTATCTAAGGTCAAGATACTTCTGTTTTCACAGACTTTGACTTTCTCCAAAAGTTGGAAATTAAGTTTTGTCATCTTCCTCTTTGCCCACTTGGACACATCCTGGCTTTACTCACAGAGACCAATGATATGCTTGAGCAAGCCAGACTGGAATCTAATGACTTAGAAATTCCAGAGAAAAAAATTAAAGAAAAGGAATAGTTTCAATTGGGGCATAAAGCTGAAACTTAAAATTTGAAAAGCATCCTAAAAGTAGTTTTGCGTAAAAGATACTCGGATATACTACTTCAAAAGCTACGTTTAAGTGAAAAACACAAAACAGATTTAATAAGCCAGACTGAGTATCCATCTAACCCATGCCCAACAGCAGGTAGATGGAGGAACTACAGGACGTGCGCACAGCAATACTGCCTAGAACAGCTTCTTGTCAGTTCTGGTTCCAGAGCCAGGGATTTACTGCAGCTAGAAACATCAACAGCTTCTTCCATAAATTCATCCAGTTGCCTTTTTTTAAAAAAAAAAAAAATGTACACGCTTTTCATCCGGAATGATGGCAGAAAGAATTTCCTTAGCTTTAAAAAATATATATTTTTTCTCTCCTTTTTTTTTTTTTTTTTTGGTATACTTTTCTTGTGGGCTAAATCCAGTGCATGGACCATGAGAGGATCTACACTGTCCTAAATGTTGAGATGGGTGTAATTCATTCTACTGGGTATCACTTTGCTCCTCTCATTTCAAAGAAGCAGAGCTCAGCATTGACGGCTTCACAAATTAAGTTTTCCTTCAGTTCCTACTACTAAACATTTATTAGATCTGTTACTGTTTCAGTTGTTATGTGGTGTTTTTCTTTAAAAAACAGATTAAGTGACAAGAGAGAAAGTTAGATTTAAAAAGAAAAGTATAATGAATGTTACAAGACTTTATTACTCACCCATAGCTTCCTTGTACCTCCCTGCTGCCCCGTTGGGAGCTCTAAGTGGAGATCGCCTCCACTGGAATACATTTCCACCACCTGGATAACAGGAAAATGTTACCACTCGGCAGTAATGGGATTAATTACCAGACATTATAGTGCACAGTGCTGTTGTTTAGCAGCAACCGGACTATTACAGTCTCTTACAAGTTTGCTTTTGATGATAACATAGGTTTTTGCTGGTTGTGCAGTTCAAACACTTCCTGTGGCATAGGCCTTTCTGTGGATTATTTACCTCACAGAATCCTATCCCCGCACCAGATCACTCATTTACTTGTTTTGTTAGGCACAGCCCAGCTCTGCCTTAGTGTGGGGCTTCTTGCCTCTGCTGCAGAGGGGGGCACCCCGCAGAGCCTCCACGTGCTATGAGAAATTACAGTACTGCCATATCACTTGCTTCAGAAGAGCTAGAAATTCATTCCTGTATTTGCATTTTATTAGCGGGCATTTCTGAAAGCAGCTTGTCATATGAGGAGAGCATTTCTCCTTTCCTTCTTGATCAATAGGAATAAAACACAGATTACTTCTCAAGATTTTGGATCATGATGAAATAATACTGATGCAAAAGAGAGCTACGAGTCTCATGTTCAAATCATGAGACATGTTGTTTACTGCAGTCCTTTTCTTAATTAACCATGAAGTTTAGTTCATTCTTTTGCAGTAATTATGATTTTTTTTTTTAAATACAGATTTTACAGCTAAATCCCAACTCAGTAAACTGTCCCAACTCAGATTTATGAGCATAATCTGTTTTCTGGTATGACTGATCTGTATTTAAGCGTAGAGAAACATCTACACAATGGAGTAGCTTTGCATTTTGAATGGCCTTTTAAGATATTTCAAAATAAATACAATTCCAGTTTAATACCATAAACAAATGAATATTTGACATCCCTGTCATGCTCACCTGCAATGGTTCACTGTGAGGGTTATGTATATTTATTATAGGAGAAAAACTGCTATTTACAGGAACTCTTGCCCCAATAAAGGGGCGCAATCGATAGGGGTTCGGTATTCCAATGCCAAACACCTAGTTCAGGAAAACAGAAAGGATAAAAACAAGTGTGAGTAACTGCATGCAGTGGTTCTAGAGCTTATGTGACGATTTCAGCAATTCTTTTAGTCATGTTTAAAGCATAGTTCTAACTGAACATTTAAAAGAAGTATGATGACAGAGCACTGAAATAAAGCATCCAGTGTAGTTTGCATTTCTTGTAGCTACTACTTCTCCCAGCACTGGCATACTCAGAACAGACAAAGTCAAAAGACTGTCTTTTCTTTTGCTGATACTCTGAAATATCACAGCACACCACAGCTAGAGGCTAAAAGATGCAACACATCCTTTGCTGGTTGCATTGCACAGTTATCTTTTCGAGTCTCAAGCAAATAGTTTTCTACCCGCTAGTGAAGAGAACCGTCTTGTCACTGGATAGGGCAAGCAGGGAGCTCTGCAGAACGAGCTGGATCGCTGCAACAAGCCACGAAGACACCACAGGCAAAGAGAAGTCACTGAAAGTGTTTTAAAACCAATTCAGTGACCTGGTCTACAGCATTTCCCCACAGATATTTCTACTGGGGTAACTCTGGCAACGAGCACCTGCGATGGGAACTCTGACAGGCCTGTGTGGCAAAGAGCGTTATACAAGGACCTCAGGAGGTCACACAGCAACAGCAGGCACTGCTCTGGTTGTTTCACACTTTACAGCTTTTTCCAAAAGTGTTCTCCATTTATTCCTCTTACCTGATAAGTAAATACCCCATGATTAGAAGTGTTAATAAATAAAGTGTTCTCCACATTCCCCACTACTCTTGCGAGGAAAACTACATCAAAGGAGGTATTGCCTCCTGGAGGAATTTTCTGGGGGGAGAAAAGAAAAAAAAAAGGAAGAAGTAAAACTGTTTGAGAACATTAACCCACAACATTAACACAAAAAGAAGCAAATCTGTGTGTGTTACAGATCTTCACTTATTCTTCATGGAAAGGACTTCTTTAGAAAGCCCATTAGAGATCTAGGAAAAATAAGTAAAAATTTTATACAAATAAATGTGTAATAAAATCAAAACCATTTTATAGGTTATCCAGTGCAAATTTAAATCCAATTTTTAAGCTGAACTATAAGTTCAGAGTTCTACACAGTGCAGAAATACTTGGACTGACAGGTCACAGAGAACAATTACTGCGAAACTTTCCGAAGTGAGGAAGGCTGCTCAGAGGGTTTCCAAAGGAAGATTTTTTTTTTTTCCAAAAGCATTTTACACAGCCCCTGTTAAACAACAGGCCCCAAACTGAAACTAGAAGGTTACATCTGACAGCCATTTAGTTAAGAGTTAACCCTGCTCATGCCCTGCCTTTCAACTTCCAAGTCCCTGTGACACAACTGTGGCAGTTACCAGCATTGGAGTAACCTGTTTCAGACTAGTACCACTTCAATGGGCTTACAATTTTAATACAGGTTTGTTGCTGTATGTGCTCTAAGGTAAAGTCTATTTATTAGTCACTTCAGCAAAAAGTGGTGTGTTGTTAAACTGCCAAGGCTATTATACACTTACAACGGTGTTACAATTCTTACAAAATACTCCTCCCTCTCACACGTTTGTGCATATTTCTATGACCAGATCAAGCCCCCTTGGTAACTGATAGGAGATCAAGAACAGAGGTGTCTGGCTTTGTCTAGTTATTGCAATAAGAAGCTCATTTAAAGAAGTGGAAGGGGAAAACAAGGTCTCATCCACAAAACGGATAAGCACATTTTGAGAAGGCAGAACAACTTACCCTATTCTGAAAAAATGATGCATGAAAGTGTGATGTAGTAGCAGATATTGATACTAATGTAATTGTTTCTTCTGAGCTAGGATTATGTAGGTAAACTTTTTCCATTTTTGGCATTCCAACTGGCCTGTCAAGAAAGAGAAAAAAATAAATGCTAGTGTTTGATCAATGATATAAAATTGGACTTTGTCTTTGCAATTGTCTCATTGAACCAGAGAGAAAATAAATATAGCAGTGATTAACACTGATAAAATTTCAGTTAAATGTTTCTTTAAAGTGATAGATGCAAATTCCACCTTAAAGAAACAAAAGAGACTTGACATTTAATTTCATATAGTTATCTATTTATAGGAGTTGCCATAACAACGTTCTGCAAAACAAACAAACAAACAAAAAAAAAAAACAACAGAAAAACAGTAAAAGGAACAGAAAAGTAATCTCTCAGGTTTCTACTTCAGGAAGTTTTTTTATTCCTGCACCAAAAACTAACTAATCCTCTAAAAAGGAAACAGAACACACCCTAGAGAAAAGTCTGCGTAAAATACTCTTACTTAGAATCCAGAATTTCTATTGTGTTGTATTTTATTGTATGCTCTACATAATTAAGTATACAGACAAGCAAAGCAACCACACATACATTGAGGAAAAAAAAAAAAGAAAAAGAAAAAGAAAAAAAAAAGAGGTTCTTGAGATAAATTCTAGAATTGAAGCCTAAACATAGGAGCATTTTTTCAGTAACAAGTCATACTAATAATTTATTCCACATAAGCATTAAACTTGTTTCTTTTTACCTCCAGCAACTCGTATGTGCTTGCAAAACAAGAAACGCTTCAGTTTCACTAATTATTTTCCAGACTTTGGAGTGACTTCAGACTTTTTCCCTAGGTAATGCACACATAATAGTTAGTGATTTGGTGCTGGTGCCTAAGTGAGCCAATCACAATTTGCTCCAAATAAAATTTCGGAATTCAAGGAAGTCACTTCTTCACGTCAAGCTTATGCCCATTCTGCCCCCCTTTCACATCTCCAAACGTTTCAAACTCGCACACCAAACTTTGCAAAGAGCATAAAGCCATTTATAAGAATACTGGTGATGATGCCCAGAAGCAGGCAGTTGTTCTGCCACCCTCTGAATTCTGTTTAATGGGTCAAATTAACACATGCTACTGCAGTTGCACAGTTTTCAACGGGGTGGTCTCCATAGGTGAGGCAGGGTAATTTTGCTGCAGACTAAAGATTGCACCAAACAGAAGATCCAGTGATAACAATCAAACTATATCAGAGTTTACAGGGTTATTCTGGTAACAGGCAACACCTTCTACTCATAGAACATAATGGCTTAGACAGATGCTAGAGACCATGATATTTAATTCAGAAATATAATTATGAACCTTTAATAAAATGCACCATCACTTTAAGAGTGAAATACACATAGTTCTGCACTCTACTATTGTTGAGTGGTTTTTCTTGGCTTCCTGAGACCTCTTAATTTCAAATCTACCAACACCCTTCTTTTTTGATTCCTTTTTTTGCCCCATCATTTCAACCTCTCCTCTGATTCACAAGCAAGCACTGCAGAACACAACTGCTCTCCCTACCAACAACATGCACAAAACCCCACACCCAGATGAAGCCCCAAGGACATGCACCTATTGCCAAGGTATGTAAGAATATCAGAAGGAGATCAGGTTTATCAGCTACCATGTTTTTCAAAACTGTTACAGCTACCAGGTTGTTGACTAAGAGAGCCAAACAGCAAACCTATACAGACATACAGCACACTATGTATTTCTTCTCTATGTACTAAATGCTTATCTATCTAGAGAGGAATTTGAAAGACAGCATTGCCACCCTCCAAAAAAATACCTAAAGAGGGACAACACCTCAATCCCCCCCAGCTAAAAAACAAGCAAGCCACAGCTGAGACAGGTGTCTTTGTGTGCAGTTATCCACCACTCCCTGAACTGATAGACACTTTAAAACACTTTCACATTAGGATAGACAGGCTGGAAAGGTCTACCTGTCTGGTAACTGAACACAGTCAACACAGTTTTGCTAAAGTCCCAGAGGATTTTAAAACAATTTCTACTTTTATTCATTTATTTAATTGGCAGTGCTTTAAACAACCACTTTCCATTTTTTTCTGAAATGAAAGACTTAATATATGAATATGCAAGTCAGTGTATGTGAAGGGCTAAGGCCTGTAAAAGCAGCTCTACAGCAGACTCACCCCAAGCCTTGCTGGGCTGGGGAAAGGGGCCCTCCAGGACCACATCCTGCAGGACTCTCCCAAGCCAGGGCCACGCTGGAGCTGTGATCCTCCTTTTCCGCCTTTTTCTCCCCTTTCACAGGATCCTGAACCACACAGCCTCACCGCCACCGCAGCCAAGACCACCCCAGCTTCACATCTCAGACCAGTTCCTCCTTGTTTGCCAGTGTGAGACCAAACAGAGCCCCTGTCCTGCACGAGGAGGCTGCGAGGTGTCCCCGGCACACAGGCAGCACTGCCTGGTGGCAAGTTCTGCACAGCAATCCCCTGGAGCAGGCACAGGCAGTGTCAAAGTACAGAAGATTTTGCTCCTGATCTTTTGTGTGGTTAAGTCCATCTACACCAATAGAAAGAGGTACCACTGTTTGGATTAGAAGATGTTAACACGTGGTAAGGTGCCTGCTTAGATGTTTAAATAAGCCTGTGCTGAAGATCTTTGCTGCTGCAGCTCCCCTCTTTCCCATGTGGAAAGTAGAGTATCTGCAGTATCCTATAAGAAAGATACGGGTTGGGGTTAACTCAGCCTTGGGGTTGAGTTAATTTCTGTGTTGGAGATCAAGACATAGATTCTTTCAAATAAAATCAGCTTCTGCCAAGAGAGCTGCAGGAAGAATGCTTGATTGTCTCAATCTTCATTCAAAAAAACATTTAACTATTCACTGAGAAGTAAACGTGGATTGAGAAAACTGACCTTTTAAAAGGGTAATTACATTTCTTCTCACTGTCTACAGTTTAGGCACCTCAGTAAAAATGCAGACTGGATTTACAGATCTCACACAATTCCACTACTAAAAGCCAAGAACATATACATTGAGCAGATACAGATAACGGTGGATGTAAGGAGAAGTGTTAAGAAGATTGGAGAAAGAACTGGAGTCAATCTGGGTAGTCTAACAACAACAAGAAAGTTTTCCTGAGGCAGCGCCGGCGACAGCTCCCTCAGAAGAAGAGGGGCAGGGAGCTCCACAAACAAGGCAGGTATCAGATCACGGGGCCTGAGGCTGCTTCCGAGGAACAGCTGCCTTCTTTGCTCTGGCAGCATTTATCAGCCTAACATGATAAGCAAACAAAAACAGAGGTAGATCTGGACTAAATGTCAACTGGTTGTCAAAAGTCTTCTTGCATTTAACAAGATTCCAGAAGAAACAGGAAAGTTCAATTCTGCAACTTCTTTCTTTGAAGATCTCAACTTCTCATATGTTAAAAAATGTATTAAATGTACAGTACAAGTATCTGGTTGCACATTATAAGTACTTAAGCCCTTTCACCGTTTAAAAACGTAAGAAAAATAAGGATCCGGATAAGCTCTACTTGTTAAAATTAACTCTCCTATATTTACTGCTATGAATTAAAGTGCCTGAAGAAGAGAGACTGATTTCCTAACTTCCCATTCTCTTAAGTTACATTTAGCCACATGTTTGCAGGAAGGCCTGCAATATGTGAATATTCAAATATTTCAAACTATTCCTTTCAAGGCCAGCTGAAGCTTTCAGAAACACCTTGCCGAAGAGCAGACCGGGCTCGTGAAGAGAAACACGAAAACCCTGCTGCAGCCTCCGGAGCAGCGCGTTTCCAGGGAGGAGCAAAACGAGATGAGCTGATAAACAGAAAACTGAGGACACAAAATCTAAACGTGAACAACATTTCTATACACCCACAGTTGACCTGCTGGGTATAAGCAGGCAGGAGAGCAGCGCCTGAGCCGCCCCACATCAGCGCCCTTTGATGTTGCTCCAAAGGGGCCGCCCAGGCGAAGACGCGTCTGGAGCGCAGAAAGTCACAGCAAAGTGCTCCGCTCACACAGCCCCTCGGGAGCCAACTGCTCAAGGCCCAGTGGTTAGCGCCTGATTTACCCATCCAGCAACAGGGAGAGCAGCTAAAAGAGGTTATAAGGAAAAGAGGACAAGTAGGAGCAGTGCGGGGAGGAAGGGGTGTAGTTTTGTTACTGCCTTGATACATGTGGACAATTTGGCATCAAAACAGACTTTGAGGAAGCTGGATCTAAATGCTACCTATTAACAAGACACTGCTGGTTTAGCTTCCACATTTATTCAGAAGCTAAATAAGATTTTATGCAATTTCTAAAATTCATTATTAACTCAAAGAACAGCCAGAAAAAAAATCAAAAAAGGCCAAAAAACCCACTTACATCTGCATTGTTTGACTTCTTAGCTGCTTGGCACCTATAGTCTGTCCACCCCAGGAGATTGAGTAACCCAGCAAGCTATCAAACTTATTTCACTTTCATTAAATGCCTTAAGTATAGATTTGCAGCTGTAGGTCTGAACCTTTTTAAAAATTATTTTTGAGGTCTTACAGAAACGTTAGCTAATTTTAAGAGGGGAGGGATTTCTGCCAGAGTTTACAATTTCAACTCCCACGGACAGAATAATGAACTAATGGAAAAAATAAATGGGGTACAGAGTGAACCAAGAGCTAACATACAGTCTCCCTGTTTTAGCTGATAAAAATCAGCACGCTCCCAGTTCAGTTCTGTGTTTGTTGTATAGAAGCATTTGTGCCTTTCCGAATAACAGATCTGCCCTACCTTAACTGTGCTCTATAGCCATGCTGTTCTCCTGCTTTCAGCTCTGACAGGAAAGGCTTGCAGACAAAGTTAAAATAAAGGGAAACACCCAGCAGAAAAAAAAAAAAAAGAGTATTTGACACTGATCAGAGTATTTTTATTACAAAAAATATGAAGGTATCTTTGGAAGTCACATACGGAAGCATACATATCTTCACATAAGCATGTCAAATATAGGTAGCCTTTAAAAACAAGATATTCCAAAATACATCAATACAGCACATTCATATTAGAACAGCTGTAGAAAAATGCATCTCAAGGGGAAAAAAACCTGTAGTTACAAATTGAAAACTGAGAAGTTCACTTACTTTTTAACTTCTTTTTATAATTACAAATAAAAAAGGTTTGCAAAATGCAGCGCTTCCTTACAGCTTTGCTATATGGGAACATTAAGGCTGCTTCTGCACAGTGGTCCTTTCTGCAAAATCACTGTCAAAGCCACAGGCTTTAGAGGCTCTGCTCCTCTGGCACACAAAGCTCTACACCAAGTCAGCACAAGGAAGCCTCCATACCTGTCTCTGCCGTCTCCCTTCCCTACAAGGCAGGGGTTTTACTGAAGTTTCACTAATAACCTGTGGGTCATCTGCAACTAACCCAGCCTTTCGCCCGGCAGGGCTGGTTAAATATGGGGAAAGTTCACATCTCAGGAATCCCTGAACACACCATGGCTGGTTGCATTCTTCCCCTATGGAAGTGTTAAGGAAAATGTTGGAAACAGCCTCATTCAGTTTACATTGTATCAAGTTTTTAGCAATCATACACAGAGGCAACAGCAACTGTATCTGTTACTATTTATTAATGTTAAAAAAGAAAAGTGTAACTACCTGTACATAGTAACCAGTTACTGGAAAGAGAAGCTAGGCACTAGGGCAGTTCATAGAAGAACGGGTCATAAAGTACATCTTCAGAAGTGTTAAACCAAAGCTTCCTTCTCCACTTCTTTCATCCTTTAGAAAAGCCACAGATGTGTTTGCTGTAAACCCCTAAACTCACCCACTGACAATTACAGAGTAACGAGCTGCAAGGCGCCGCAAGACTCGAGCTGCTGATGTCTCCATCCCCACCTCTGCAAGGCCTTGTGATCATGAGCGTCATTGTTGTTTTAAGGACTACCGGTCTACTAACCAGGCTTAATCCTCTCCCTATTTTCAGGGGGCATCATTTCACAGTTCACAAGGTGGCAAAACACTTAGAACAGCAGAACTGTGCTCGGGTAAACCCCTACAAGAGGGCTGGAACAGACAGCGAGGGTGAAGAGGAAGTCATGCACCTTGAAAATCTACCGCCAAAGCAGTAGCAAAACAGGGCACGCGGGAGCCCTCCTGTCCACACAGATACCCTCACACCTCAGGAGGCCACGTCTGGCACTGGAAACCATTCCCATCTTCTGGAGCAGCTCTGCGAGTGCCAGCACAGACCCAGCTCCAGCCGCCCGGTGGAAGAGGCCGCTGCCCAAGGACAGCGCGGAAGCCAGGCCAGCCACACGTCAGCACCGCCCGCGTACACCAGCTCCTCCGACAGCCAAAACGGCTCACGCTGCCTACCCCGCTTGTCTGCGGAAGCTGATCCAAAAGATTTTCCAACTTACTGTTCATGGAAGTCCAGCAACGGCGGCTCAAACCGGAGAGGTCGACAATTTCCCCGATACAGGGATACACTGCAAGAAAAAAAATAAAGTGTTGTAATAGATGTTATAAATGATATATTTTTGCTCTCTTTCCATCTCGAATCATCCTTTCGTGGTGTAAAGAAGCATTAATAGTAACAACACAGTAACCAATTCAAAAGAAGAGACAGCTAGACAAACTTGTCCAGTCAGAGTACTGTAATTTTACCAGATGTGATTATATGATGCCTCCAAGAAAGATTACACAAGAACACAAATCTTGAAAGTGGACATAATTAAAATGCTAGCCACTATACATACACAGGAAAACTAAGCCAAGCAATAAGCTAAATAATAGGTTTATATTACCTTTCATATCCAAACGTCCTGCACAAGACATAGAACTAAGCCACTTGCATACATGAGGAGCTTCTCTGCCTACACTGACACTAGTAAATTAAACTATGGCTTCTCAGCCATTCACTGCTATCGAGGCCATAAGGAGAAAGCAGTCCATTCCTATACTATTAATATTTCTCAATCTCCGAAAGACAGTAAGTCTGCTCTGCAAACTGTCATTGGCTTGTACTAACTTCCCCTCCGAGAACTGTTCGGGAGAACGCCAATAGATAAAAGCTAAAATTCAGATATCACTCAATAATTCAGCAGCAAAGACTATAGACCATCTAGAAATACTCCCTTGCAATGTTTATTTTGCCACTGCTGTTATAGCCGATGCAGCACAATCGACAACACAGAATATAACTTACAAGAAAAAGTAAATGTAGTTTCACTGACAGATACATTTTTGTATTCAGAATGAAGTGACTGTGACCACACCTGTTTAATTCAGTAAATCTTTATTATGGATTAACTATAGTTAATATACATACATAATATATAAAAAAAGAAGATGCCACAGGGAGGCAATAATGAAAAATCAAGCAGAAAAAGGTAAAACAGCTCAAAACCAAACACCAAACTGCCAAAGGAAATGCAGGAAGGGAATCAGGCCTGGAACCAGAGAACTCTGGATGTGGGCAGCGAGTTTAGATAAGAATATGTAGGACAGAGGAGGAGTTTGCATGACCTGCACTTAAAAAGACAAAGGAAAATTTTGAAAACAATGAGGCTATTGGTTGGACTACAAGTAATTTCAGATCGTAGGACTCGTTATCTGATCAAACTACTGGGCCTAACGATGCAAAGCACTGACCTACATAATTTCTTTCCGACAGATCAGGACTTTTTTTCTAAAAATCTGGATGATCTAAAACTTATGCTCCATCAAGGATTATGAAATCTTCCAAAGTCTGACCGAGAATTACAGCCAAATGCCCGCACCTGACCTAGGTGAGAGTCACACTACCAGCCAAACAGTGTGTGCTGAGCCAAGAGCCATCCTCACAACTCAGTAACTGCTACCTGAAGATGACTAGTTATGCTTTCAAAATCTCTTTTTCTTTAAATGCTTTTGCTTCTGGCCTTTGCTTTCTGATTGTGCATCAACAGGTGGATGTCCACAGCCATCACACAGCAGTTCCCAAAGGCAGCCAGGGCTGTGGATCTAGGAGTTGAGGGGAGAGCAAGGAAGGAGGTGGAGGATACCCACAGTTGCCCTTACAGCAACCAAGAGCTGAAGAACTCCAGGCAACTGGAATCAGCTAATTTCTTCCAGAGTAGTTCCCGGAAAACTAACTAATGATCAAATTCAGATGTGTTTCCACACTCCACTTCCACAGGCAACTATTTACAGAAGCTAAAATCCCTAAACAGGCTATAGAAACTTAACTATGCTCTCTAATAGCCTAAACCTGGGCAATAACAATGGCACAAACAGCATGCTTTATAAACATACATATTATATATAAAAATCTTAATGACTCACAACAGTACTCCGTAACTCATTCTTAAGTATAATACACGGGGAATAGAGACATCTCTTATTTACAGCACTCTAAGTGAGGATGTTGAAGCATCTTGAACATTGCTTAGAGATTAGCCATTAAAAATAGCTTTATCCACACAGCTACTGGGAAAAGTGCTACTGGGGCAAGAGCACATACGGTCCCGTTAGCTTTAAAATACATATGCATGCGTGTGTGTATTTAAGAGATAGATATACCTATCTTACAAAACAGTGCGAGAGAAGGAGCATAACACCCTGATAAGAAAGAACTGTGTCCAGATCTACTCATTTTGGCTCATTTTGCTGAGCATGTGTCCCACGAAGGTCGAGTAGTACCAAACATGAAAGAGCTTCCAATGAAGTCGGAACCTGGTATTAACAGAGGTATTTTGAAAGGTTGAAACAAGTTTCCAAGTCTTCAAAGTCACCTTCCCACTAAAGTTTACGCTCCAATTTTGCAGAAACAAAACAAAAGCTTAGAAAACATTTTTAAGCTGACAAGCGCAAAAGCTTCATGCACCCCTTATCAATATAATCCTAAAATCAAATTGAAACTACTCTCATTCTAGAATGATTCTGAAAACAGTTCTTTCACCAATACACGAAGATTGCCTCCAATTTCTAAGTCAGGAACAGCTAGCAAGCACTTCTTGTTTTGAGCTTGTAAAAGAATATATCCATTTACAGGAAGGTTTTCAAACATATTTATGGGATTAACAAAAATGAAGTATACAATTCTGGCACAATAGATACTAACTTTGTTTCACAACACATCTGAACTTGTGGATTTTTTTTTTGCATTTATTGGCAGGAGAAAGCATTGGAGCAATATAAAGTTCACAATGTCTGACTAGACGCTATACATTTAACCACAATTTTTATTTAACATTGACTAGCTATGAAATTTTACAGCCAGCTTGCAGACTGCACCTAAATACTCATTCCTAGTTTTCTTGAAAGGAGTAAAATAGCTAAAATAGCCTAAGGAATCTTGTCAAAGTTCAGAGAAAACCATCAACTCAAATGGCCCAGAAATACAGCTAGGTGTCATTTCCCCAACCCGAGCAACTCCCTGAACACAGCACCCCCCACTTGCAAAGCTTCTCTTTCAGTATCTGTTCCCCAGAACACTTCGGGCTTCCCCATTGCCGAAGTTTGGTGACGGCTGTTGCATCACGATAAATGCCTGGCATTACAGAAGTAACACGGCTGAAATGGGGAGAGAAAAAAAAAAAAAAAAAGGCAATAGTGGAATTCCCAAACTTTGCCTAGTGGAAGGCACAGCGTGAGCGGACTTGCAGGCAGATGATCCTGTCTGCTCTGCTGGGCACTTGCTCACTGCAGGCTGGATACACCCATGGGTAGGGCAACTTTACAGCATAATCACATTTAAAGTAATTACTGGGTATGCATAGTGACTACGGCTCCCAGTCTAACACTGGAATTTAAGTGTTTTTATTTCCCTGCCACTCCAAGGATTTTTTTTTTCTTTAACCTTCAAAGTCAAGAAGAACATGAAAAGGAAAGATGCAACTGAAAGGAAGGGCTACCAGTCTGCCAACAAGCTCCCGCAGATGATTAGCCAGAAGTCCTCTGAACTTATGCAGCTTCTGGAATAACTAGTTCCTGGGAGTGATTTAAGACATCCCTCCAAGCCTTTTCCCTACTCCAGAGTTTTGGTTTTACCAGTGAATCTTGAGACATTACTGACCTTACTGCACCACTTACTCTGTCACCAAAGTGGGAGGACATTTCCCCCAACTACCAGCACTACTTTACTGCTACTACCAAGAACAAATTGCTACCGAAGATGACTCACAGAAGCACAACATTGCCCAATATTACAATCCAAAAAAGGCTGAGTCATGAATACAGTTATAAAGATGCCTGAAATACCAATGCTTGGACAGACTGTAGGCAATACGGACACCTGTGCATGCTGGGCCTCAGTGGCCTAGGGATGTTCTGCACTTTGGAGATGTTCGGCCGTTCATCCAAACATACAGCACTGATATTCTGAATTATCACTCGATATCTCCGCATCTGCAGATGGCCAAAACACTTGTCAAATACAGAGGCTCACGACTTTCTGCAAGACTGGGTTGTATCAGTTCCTCTGTATCCTCACTTGGGCTTTCTAGGTGCTCTGAGATTGCTGGGGGAGCTCTGTACAACCTTATCTGTACATCTTTCATTGCTACTGGGGAAAATTCAAATTTAAGCATTGCTCTACGTGTTATTTTCCCTATATTACTTTAGCAGCTCTTTAAATTGTTTTACTTTTGAGTGACATAAATGACCAATAAAAATAAAAGATGACACTGGCACTAAACTGCCAAACGACAAGAGATCTCTTGATTTTATTTAGCAACACAAACTCGAAGAAAGCCAAAAGTGCTCAGCTATTTCTAACAGCACAAAGAAATGAAAGCGTCTCCAAAAATAACCACGAGAATTTTTAAAGTGATGAAAAAGGTAAATATTTTACAGGGATTATTTTGGTGCCAGAATATCCTTGAAAGACACACCTCAAAGATGGAACTGTTTTGGCTAGAAAAGCAGGTGATCGTATTTCCCTATGTGCACCAATTATGTGTAAATACTAAGACATTAGGCTGAGCCACATATAGAAAAAAAAACACATTTAGATTTTTATAGATATGTAAGATGAATTTAGAAATATGGTTATTAAACTTAATCACAGCGAGAAAATTAATTCCCAGAAGCTAAAGAGCTGTCATCAAATATTTGACCATTTAAAGCAGTGGCTACTGCCAGTTACTTATCATCAAGTATCAAGTACTTATCAAGTAAATGCAGATAAACAAGAAAACGAACAAGGGATTTTTTCACAAACTCCACCAAGCCAGTGGTTGGCTCAGTTATGCCAGCCTATTATCAAGAAAACATATTAATGATATCAAAGGTTAAACTTCAAAGTCAAGACTTCATGAGGGATTGGGGTGGGGTAGTAAACAGGGAGACACTTTGGTAGATGCACTGAAATCTCACCGTAGGCAAGAACAAAACCAAATGTTAAATAGCTAGTTCATTTGCCTCCTTCCAATTAGTTTTTAAAAGGAGATCAAAGAACTGAATAAATTTGTCTAGATAGGGAAGAAATCTCTAAGCTATACCAAGT